GGGGGGGGGTGGTCCCAGCTTGAAATCAGGAGTTGGATGCTTAAACAACTGAGCCACCCAGCTCCCCAGATAAGTACCCTTTGTAATGCTTAAACTTATTTAAATAAAATAACAAAAGGCTGGTCCTTTAACATTTTTATTAAAATGTCATACAGGTTTTATTAGGTGGTGGTAATATATATGTGGTAAATACAAATATAAAATGTTTTAATTCTTTACAAAGAAGGTGTTTTATGTGAATAGTCTGAGGTAATTATTTTAAGAGGGCTTTGAAAGGGTATTTAATTTTCTGTAATTCTTTAAATTTTAATATATTTTAAAATATTTTATTTCCCAATAGCTTGCTATGGCATTGTTCAAGTACCCACTGGACCATGGTTTTGCAGGAAATGTGAATCTCAGGAGAGAGCAGCCAGAGTGGTAAGAACTGTTTTATCAAAAACATTAAAATACTTCAGTGAGTAGCTTAGGATGCTACACACTTATGTTTCAGTTTGAAAGGTTTTCAGTCTTGTTCAAATTTGAATTTGGGCCAGATATCAACTTAACTGTTTTAAACCAAATTTACAAACTCTGAAAAAACAAATTGAGCCACATAACTATATGTTGAACAGATAAAACATAAAGTTGTAGCTGGGCTTTAGCCCTTTTTACTGGTTTGAAGGGTTAAATTAGTTAATCATTAGTGAAAATATGATGGCAGTAGAACATAAGGAAGTTAAGCTGATAATTCTGCTAGGGTCTGTTTAATGAATAAAAAAAACACACTAGAGTTTAACCACTCATATTTTTACTGCATTGCACATGTATATTTTAACTTTGAATGTTCAATATTTTCAGACATTTAGTCTCTTTGGCAAAGCAACATAAGAATCTTCCTTTTTCACATGGCTGGCTACCTTCTTTCTGAACACTTTTGTAAACTTATTGTAATCATAAGGGAGATATGTTTATTCTTTGTGGCCCAAGGCATTTTTTACATTTGAGCTTCTGGAAATATTAGGGAGAAATAAACTTAATTTTCATCAATCATATAAAAGTATTACTGTTTGCTATGCGATAGTTCCTTTTTGGTGTTGACTAGAGAATTTGACAGAAGGTAGAAAACAAACATTTCAGCTTTTCTACCTGCATGAGTAGCATGGAAACTTTATTTTTGCCTAGGCAATTCTTGATTAGAAGTCATAGCTGAGTAGCCTATTTAGGACTGTGAAACTCAGAGCATTATTCTGTTCATATGTTTTGTTTGTGTGTGAGAATACACTATAGCAGAATTATAGCTTATTCTAGCATTACAATGGTTGGAATTAGCAAGTAGGGGATGGAATCAGTCATATAAATTTTAGGATTTGATGTATGCATAGGTCTCCTTTTTGGTTTTTGTTCCTCTTTGTAGCATTTTATAGTTTTGGGGTTGATGGGTCACCAAGCAAAGGAAGTTATGTTTTAACTCATTAGTAAACATTGATAGTAGGTGAGGCTATTCCAGAGGGTGTCACAGTAGATTCAAGGCCAGAGGAAGATTAGAAAATAGGAAGGCAGATATTGAGAGAGGATAAAGAGCTCTGTCAATGGGGAGTAGTAGAATGCCAAAATTATTTGCCTTAAATGCCACTTGTTGCCTGTTTTTATCCCTTTATTCTCTGAGGGCATGGGTAAGATATCAAGGTGAATTGAGGTAGTTACCTTACAAGGCATATTGAAGAACACATTTTATTTTAGTGTTATTCGGTAGGATGTGGGGGCCATTCGAGGTTCTAAAGAAGAGGCACAACTTCCTTTAATTTCCTGTAGTGTACAGTTGTAAAAGATAAGGTCCTTTGTAAAAACAAAAACTCATTCTAAGCTTAAATAGGCAGAGATAGGTCATCTTATTGTTTATTTTAAGGTTTTATCTTTAACTTATCTGTACACCCAACATGGGGCTTGAATCCACAACTGGGGATCAAGAGTCACATGCTCTAGTGACTGAGCCACAAGGGCATTTTAATGTTTATTTTTGAGAGAGAGAAAGAGAGACAGAGTACAAGCAGGGGAGGGGCAGAGGGAAACACAGAATCCGAAGTAGGCTCCAGGCTCTGAGCTCAGCACAGAGCCCAAGGCAGGGCTCGAACCCACGAACCTCCAGATCAGACCCTTAAGCGACTGAGCCACCCAGGTGCCCCATCCACAAGGACATTTTAATGTGAGGATAGAGGAGCCAAGAAGCCTAACATGGAAATGTATCCGTTACTTAGGGAATTAAATTAGTCTTTTTTTTTTTTAAAGTAAATCCTTCCCTTTCAGTAATTACATTATTACTTTGCTTATTTATTTATTTTTAAAATAATCTCTACCCCCACGGTGGGGCTCAAACTCAGGACCTCAAGATCAAGAGTCATATATGCTTTGAGCCAGGCAGGCACCCCAAGAATTGAATTAGTCTTTATTTTATTTTAATTTTTATTTATGTATTTAAAAATTTTTTTTTCAACATTTTATTTATTTTTGACAGAGACAGAGACAGAGTGCGAGTGGGGGAGGGGCAGAGAGAGAGGGAGTCACAGAATCCGAAGCAGGCTCCAGGCTCCAAGGTGTCAGCACAGAGCCGGATGCGATGCAGGGCTCGAACTCACAAACCGTGAGGTCATGACCTGAGCCGAAGTCGGACGCTCAACCCACTGAGCCACCCAGGCGCCCTGTTTTTATTTTTTTAATGTTTATTTTTGAGAGAGAGAGAGCATGCACACGCTCTCACGCCAGTGTGGGAGGGGCAGAGAGAGACAGGGAGACAGGGAGTCTGGATCAGGCTCCGCACTGCCAGCGCAAAGTCTGACATGGGGCTCAAACAAACTGTGAGATAATGACCTGAGCTGAAGTTGGATGCTCAACCAACCAAGCCACCCAGACACCCGCATTTATTTATTTATTTATTTTTATTTATGGGGAAAAAAAAAATTTTTTTTAATGTTTGTTTTTGAGAGAGAGAGAGAGAGAGAGAGAGAGAGAGAGAGAGAGAG